CAGTGTTGTGCTGGTGAACAAGAAAGTATATAAACTCTTAACGTAAAAAGGAAAAGAGAGGGGTTTTAAAAAACTTACAACTAGGATGTATTCATGTATTCTTTACAAATTGTTTTTAAAGAAAGGGGAAATGAAGAAATATTTCCCCCATGAGTTAGTCACCTCTGGCAGTAACAATACCAGCAATGTTAAGAGACCAAACTTTTAAGGACATCCTAGGTAATTAATGCCACTTTGCATAATCTCCTACACCAGAGGGGAAAAAACCTGGTCCTGCTGAAAGGGAGTAAATGCCCATGTCAGTCCAAGAGCCTATATACTTCCCCTCTAGTTAGAAATCGCTACCACTCAAAGTCTCTGACTATGTAAATGAAAGAGTGGAATATGAATGCGGGTAGGTAGTAGAGGTTCCCGCATGGTTTAGGAGGCAACATCTAACCTACTGCATTGCTCATCTGCTCTCTGCTTTGCCAAATAGTAGCAAATCTGTGTTACAGCAAGTTAAGACACCTCAAATGATTCCCCTCCACCCCAAGATGTGTATATTATTGCTATAAACATACCAAAAGTGTCTCCAGAGCCCTGGAACAATGTCTGGCTACATCCTGCATGCTAATCAGGGGTATCTGCTTTCACCAGAGGGAGCTCCCAGGCCCCTATATCCACCCCACCTTGCCCCATCTGCTGGAAATTCATGGCTTGCCTTTTTCCTTCTCCTAGTTTCCATGGAGACTCAACAGTTTACTTTTTACCCCCCGACTTTAAGCCATGGTTATTTTTAACTCTAAAACTCTGAGCCAGGTCACAGCTTGGATCTGGTAGATGCAATGACATCTATAGCCACTCTTCTCTGCAGCAGACGCCTTCTTTTCTGCAGTTGCTGGGGGTGGAAGGCACTCTGGGAGATGTTGCTCTCAAAAGGGTTTTGGTTTGCATCATGAAGTTAAAACTATGCTGACTTAGATCTGACAGCTGTCCTGAATCTGAAACCATGTAAACCCAAAACCAGGCAAAGATTTTCTTGTGTGTGTGGTGGGGGCAGGGGAGTGTCAGGTTGCCAGGTAAGGTTGACGTTGCTGTCACCTCCTACCTGTGGCTAGCGATTAGATAAATGTCCTTTGGTAAAAACATCAAAGTGCTCTCCTTTAGGCAAAAAATAAGGGCTCTGGCACCTGCCTCTAGTACAGTGGCTTCTTCTGCTGCAGCTTGACCATGGTTAAAAAGAGGCTCCTAACAGGATACTATACGAAATCTCTTCCACCTCTCCAAAGCGGACGACAAATTCCCAAGGGAACACTGCTGCCCTCTCCTCCTCTACCAAAACTCAAATCAGCATCCCCATCCCCCATCTCTAAGGTCCCTGGTACTTGGGGAACTAGTGTCTGTTCATGGTATTTCTGAACTTTTCACTTCCTTTAAATAATTTTTTAAACCTGTAAAATTACCCTGAAAATTGCCCTTTTCATGTTAGACATCCTACCATTGGAAACTGAAATATAAATATCAGACACTTATCCCAACTTAAAAATCCGTTTTCTTATAAGGGATGTTGACTGGGAACATTAAAATCAAGCTCCAGCCCCATTGGTGTGGCTCAGTGGCTGAGCGTGAACCCATGAACCAGGAGGTCACCGTTTGATTCCCAGTCAGGGTACATGCCCAGGTTGTGGGCCAATCTCCAGTAGGGGGTGTGCAGGAGGCAGCCGATCAATGATTCTCATCATTGATGTTTCTATCTCCCTCTCCCTCACCCTTCCTCCCTGAAATCAACTTTAAAAAAATTTTAAAAAAGGAATGCCTCCTAAAAAATATATCAAGCTCCATAGTACAGATTCCATTAATTTTTTTATTTCTTAATATATATTTTATGTTTTCAAGGAATCCTCTAAATGAAGGGTGATAATAAGGGGATAATCCAAATCAGTTACTATTGTTTAATGGAAGAAAAGAGAAGGTTAGGCCATTGCAAATAATTCCAGAAACAGGGAGTATACTTGGCAGACAGCTCTCCAAGGAGGAGAAGAGATGCATTAGAAGTGTCAGGAGTTGGCACTTAGCTTTCAGTTCACTATTGAATAAGGGTGGTAACATGACAGCATTTCAGCATTTGCGCTTCAATTAGGAAAAAGTGTTGATTTCTTAAAACGATGAGGTTTTCTCCTTTTGACACTTTCTAAGATGCTACTTCTGTTCAACATAACTCTGGACCAGGGTAGGCTGATTAGCAAACCCCACCTGGAAGTTTTCTGCCACGTAAGACCCAAGGACTGAGCAAGCTGGGAAAACAAAAAAGTGTTACTTGGTTAAGAAGGAAAGAGTAATTCAACCAAATTAGTTTGATGCCATTCCCTGGGCTCCAAAGTAGAATACAAGTGCATCAGACTTAATTATCCAGTCCTGAAAGACATAAAACAAGTCTGTGCTGGCAAAGATTAACGACAGGATTTTTTCAAAACAAGGATGTATGGTGATATTCAAGTTTTTCTGAATCCTTCAGTTTGGGATTTTAAACCATTTAAGGGTTACTTTCTGCATTCTTAGATCAACTTCCTTACTCCTACTCTTAACAGGGAAGGGGCCGAATACACAATGCATACCAAGCAAGTAACTCAGAGTGACAAAGGCATTTTAATGTCAGATGCAAGCCATTCATCCTTTCCTTAAATACCTGGGTCTCTTGACTGGAAGCCTGGTTGGTCAACTCAAAGGGCAGTTCATGTTTTCATCCCAGCACATCTTATCTGATAGAAGCCAAAGCACCAGGCAAACACTCAACAGAAGAACTCCATTTGATTTAAACAGGCTTTCCAGACTTCTCAGAAATTATTCATGTCCCCCAATCACCCTCCCCCCGCCACCTCAAAAGTAGCACACTAACACTCAGCCCTGATGCATGTTTCATGGAAAGGCTTAGGTTCCAAAATATTCCCTAAATGCTCTTCACTATTGTTCTCACTCCCAAATTAAATGCCTGTGTCAGCATGACCATTACCATCCTATTCAGGCTGCTCTGGCCTTGCTTGTACTCGGAGACCCTACTCAGTTTCACTCAGAAGAGCTGGTTATTAGATCTGATTGAAGAGAAATCCTTTGTCTTGGCCCAGCTACCTCTTCTACACAAGGCAAGGCAGAGTCCCACTGTCCCAGAGATGATCCCCTTGGCAGATCAGGGAAGGGTTAACCACATCTGGTCTAAGCACATTAGACAGGAAAGCCAAGCTTCCAATTCAGCACCTCTTGAATCAAACTTCAGAAATTTAGACATAAAAACCCAGGTACACACAAGTAGTGGAAAAGCTTTCTGTGTTAACAATAATAAAGTATGTATGTAGAAGGCATCCACAAAGATCCTTAAAAATGGATGAACCATGTTCCAAAATATGACTCTCTTGCCTGGAGGCCAGGGGAAAAGTGTTGTGGAGTTAATGTAAACAAGTTTTTTTCCAAGCTTCTCTTTGTAATTTGGGACTCTGATTGTTCATATTGGACATTTTAGTTCTTTTTTTAATATTGATTCTAGAGAGAGGGAGAGAAACATCTATGAGTTGGCTCCTGAATGCACCCCAACTGGGGAATGAGCCCACAACCTGGGTATGTGCCCTGACCAGGCATCAAACCTGCCACCCTTCTGTGTACAGGATAACTCTCCAACTGACTGAGCCACATAGGCCAGGGCCATTTTAGTTCTTTCATTACACATCTACCTATTTCTAAAGCTGGAATGACTTACCAACTGGAATTTTGTTGTTTTTGATGTCATTGGTCTTCTCCTTTTAGCTAACCACAAGCTGGTGATTTCATTACTAAAAACTGGACAGCTTGTTCTTAACTCTCAGCAAGGACTGGTTAATTACCTACTGAGTTCAGATTTTAAATGGGTTAAAGGATGAAAACTAGAGTCCAGGAAGGGATAAACCACAAATAGTTGGTCTCAAGAGAGACAGTCTCGGCCTTTAAGCACAGGAAAGGGTCATTACAGCAAAAGAAATTCGTTCTCCCTTCCCAGGAAAGATATGCCTAAAATGTCAGCAGAAACCTTAATGTTAGATTGCAATAAAAATCCCTAACAGTAAAAAGTCTTTATTCATGTTGAGATTCAGAGTAAACTGTTCCTCTCTGAGATGATCTGGACTGAGACCTCTGTTTAATGTGGCTGGAATATCCTCTGAAATGCCCTTGCTAGTTCTTGATTTTTAGTAAAAGGAAGGTCCTTCCTTTGGTGATAGGAACATGGAAGAAAATAATGTACTTAATCGAGCTAACATCAAATATGTTAGCAAATGCTTTTCTATTATAAGTGCATCAAAGTAGAGACTTAGTGACTCCTTTCAAGAGCACTCATCACCTAAAATATGGCTTGATCTTTGAGAAACCCTCTAGGGATTCTAGGTCTTAAGTTTTGCAAAGTTGGGTTTACCAAAACAAAAATAGTAATAATCCTACTTTCTAAAATCCAGTTATTTGAAATTACAGCCTTATTTTTCTATCACTATTTTCAATTCTGCTGTTTTTCCTCATCAAATCTGCTGATTCCCCAATCAGTTTTTCAGAGTTCAACTGATTCCAAGGTTTCTACCAGACTGTCCTACCATCCTCCCACTCCTAACTACCACAGCTGCCCCTTGTGTCCTAGACAACCAAATCTCTTGGCACCATTTTCCTTACTCCCACTGCTGCCTCCATATCACCCTCCACCCACTATGTCTGGAACAGTCCCCCACTTCCATCTGCGAAATTACCTCTTTCCTCCTAATCTTATCATTGCCCCAAAAGCTCACCTCTCCCAGGAAGCCTTCCTTAACCAAGACTGAGGACTCTTCAGATTATTACATATGTCACCTGACATTGATGTCCAATGCATTCCGAGTTTTTGGAACCAGAATTGCCTTTCAGGGATAAGACACAATCCCTTCGAAAGCAACTGAGAACAAAGTGGTAGTAGAATACATTTTCCTAAGAGAGACGCGTATGCAAAGAAAAGAGACCATTTCCATAAGCCACCCTTTTTACATATTGAAGTCTTTAATTATTTTAATTCCTTCAGATCCTCAGAGTTTCCTTGTCACTTGTAACCCCCTAGATGAAGTCTATTAGCAAGCTACATGCATATTTACATCAAAAAGTCTGAGCAGACACTTCCAACAAAGCATATAATATTTTAATTAGATATTTTGAATGTTGAAAGAATCAGCGACTAGAGGTAATTTGTGCAGATTCTAAAGTTATTTCTATATACAACCTTCCTTCTATTAGAAATGGGATAACCATGACTCTGAGTTTGGCATCTGATTCTACAGAAAGTTTTGAGGACCAAGTTTCAGATGTGGTGGAGTTACTCACCCTCATATCTACTGAGTTCCATATATGACTCTGCTTTACTTTTGTTTTAAAAGTAGCTTTTATTGCAGGCTAGCCATTCCCCATTAAGAAATTAAGGTTCAGGTCACAGTGGAGGATAGTTGCATCATCTCCATCCTCAGGGGCCTGGTATCCTGGGAAACCCAGGGTACGAACAGGGTGAGTCCAGGACACACATGTTAGGAGAGACAGTGCAGTATGATGAGGCAGGCATCCAGCACCCTAAGTGTGCTTTAGCTACCAGAATATTTGACACCACAAATTGAGCAGCAAAACATTTTAATCTATTAATTCTAAAAATAATCGAGACATTTTATATCTGATGCCACCTCCTCAAAAGTCTACTGCAGGTTAGACAGACTGCAAAGTACAAAACCAGACATTCAAATTAAAGATGCAGTTTGGGACAAGACCATGATGAGATTTCCCTCCCTTTTGCTCATAAACAAAGAATCCTCAGAAGGAAAGAGAAAGCTTTCTCATGGTCCATAACCTTTCTCTTACTGTAAATCTGTCTGTATTGTTTGAAGGCAAAACAGATAATGAGAAAACCAACCATTCAAATACAAGAGTCTGAGCTGGACCCATGGGACTGAAGACTGGTTTAGTTCTATTTCTACCGACACCATGACGTGAGGTACTATGGTTCTTGTTTTAGTTACAAGAGGTGCTAGGAATGAATGCCCACTCACGTTTAATAATAGCATATCTAGCATATAACTCTGCCGCACAATACCAACAGCAAGAGTGTTTTAAAGCAGGGCAGAGAATAAAGTAGACATTCTGACAGTTTAAGGTTTCCTTTGTTCTTTCCCCTTGTTTTACAATGAGAATTCAGCTCAAGAATATCCATACTGTCCTTTGGTCCAACACATTCCAAACCTGTGATTTCAGATCTCAAGCCCTGAAGGCCTCAGGCTTTAGTGATGTATCCTTCCCGAATAAGGAAATCATAGATTTTCCGGGTTTTGTTCACGTCTATCTTGATGAGCGCTCTTGCCTGTGCCAGTCTCAAGCCTCCTTGCTTGTTACATTCGTTCAATAGAGCAGATTTGTATTCTAAATAGGCTCCAGGGACCAACCTCACCATCTGACAGAGCTGTAAGACATGGCATATTTAATAAACATTAACATCTATCATTCTCATAATTTAATCCAGCAGGTATAGACAAAACAAAATTTAAGAAGTGACATCAACCTCCAACTATTTATAGGAGCTGTTGGGTGGCTGGACTACATTCCTTTTAGTCTCTTCTTTGGAGGGAATACTCACTAAAGAGAGACACTCAGGAAGAGAAAGCCAGGAAGTGATGCTGGGAGAGCCTTTAGTAGGTGTTGGCGGGGTAGAGGCCCAGCACATTCCAACACAGCCAGTCAGGGAAGAGCCACAGGGCTCAGTGGGGTGGCGGTGCAGATACTTGGGTTCCCAAGTGTGAACCACATTATTTTTAGTATGGTCCCTGCTTTTGTGATTACATTTCCTACTTTGGGAGGGAGAGGAGATATAGAGATCTTGTTAAAAGAGGACACTTTTTAGCTGCTAAAATTTTAGAAAGCTGGCTCATTCCAGTTTACTTGCCCTTATCCAGCAATGAGCCGTCTAAGGTCACCGTGTTGTGGGTAAAGATAAAAAACGCTTAAAACTCCAGGCTATTCAATACTTGGATCCAAATGGCCTGTGACCTTTTTTTAGCAATACTTGGATATAACATATTACTAAACTAATCTTTACTATTCCTAGTGGATATAATAAAAGACTAATACCAGCCCCTTCTCCTAGACCAGTGATGGCAAACCTATGACACGTGTGTCAGAGGTGACACGCGAACTCATTTTTTTGGTTGATTTTTCTTTGTTAAATGGCATTTAAATATAAAAAATAAATATCAAAAATATAAGTCTTTGTTTTACTATGGTTGCAAATATCAAAAAATTTCTATATGTGACACGGCACCAGAGTTAAGTTAGGGTTTTTCAAAATGCTGACACGCCGAACTCAAAAGGTTCGCCATCACTGACCTAGACTCTTCTTTACTATCTGACCTGAATTAATGGTACAAAGTGGCAGATGGGACACTGACCTTGGAACTGTGAAAGGAGCATCTGAGGAACAAAAGAGGAATCCCTTTTCTGGAATGGACTTTAGAGCCAAAAACACTTGATGATGACTCTTTTGAGGCTGGGTGTAAATTTTAGAAACAGCCAAAAGTAACATGAAGACAAGTCTGATGATTATAATGGAAAGGAAAAGTGAATCATGCCATTTTAAAATCAAAAATAATGTGTGACTATATATGATAAAAATTTCCTTTCTTTATGCTTATAAACGTGCTATGGAGACAATTCCAAAAATCTTTTAAGTGATGGTGGTACTGTTGGAAAAAGTGTAGAACTCAAAGTGACCATTCTAATAGGAAGTAACCATTTCATATATATATTATTTTAGGTTTATAAAAATTAATTTCATTTACTTTAAAGCATTTAGTATAGTATTTGGTACATGGTAAATGCTCAGTAAATGACAGTTGCTATTTACATTTATACATCATATGCTCTTCTCCCAGAAGGCAAATGAGGGCAAGGTGATAGGGAAAGGAGTCCTTTGAAACCTGCTGAGGTTAGTTCTGTAGCGCACAGCCTTCGGGGATGGACTAGAACTGTAAGCCTTCAGGGATGGACTAGAACTCTACATGTCATTAGCTAAGCAGAGCAAAATGGGTTTGATCCTGTAATGGCAATTCAATGATTTCTCAGCCTCTTTCCTCTAGCGCCCTTTTTGTTACCTCCTTTTCTTTTTCGTTCAGCTTCTCTGTGCCAGGGAGGCCCGTGAGGTTCAAGGGTGGTGCACTTCGTCTCCCTACAGACACAGACAGAAAAGGGCATATATGTCATAGAAGTGACAAGTCCTCAGTTGGAAAATATAACAAAGTTCACTGCAGCCAGGCCAGTTAGGCACAAGATCCTTATAGCCAGCTGTAGGAAATCTCCACCAGTCCCCTCAGGCGCCAGTGTAATTAGCAACACAGGCTCCACAATGTTTACTTGAAAATAACAACGCTAATTTGTGTGCCTGGCTGGCGTGCCTCAGTGGTTGAGCGTCAATCTATGAACCAGGAGGTCACGGTTCGATTCCCAGTCAGGACACCTATCTGGGTTGCGGGCTCAATCCCCACTAGGGGGCGTGCAGGAGGCAGCCTATTTATGATTCTCTTTCATCATTGATGTTTCCATATCTCTTTTCTCCCTTCCTCTCTGAAATCAATAAAAATATATTTTAAAAATAAATAAAATACTCACATAATCACACATAGCAGAGCATCAAATATGACTACTTACTATAGTAGTTACTACCCATTTCTTCTGAACCCAATAGGAGATTCAAAAACCTAAAGCCCCCCCCCCAAAAAAAGGGGGACATCTGTAATACTTTTAATAAAGATAAATTTAAAATTAAATTAAAAAATAAAATCTAAAGCCCAGAGCTCATCTAGTTAAGAAAGGTCATACACTACCTGCCTTGACAGCTGATGAATGGAAATAACAACTCTGCAGGAGACATTTCCTAATCCTTGCCACTCTGCCAGCAGTACAAGGCAAACATGGTAATTAACCAAGTACCATTTGCCTTCAGATCAAAGGCAGACTGTTAGGCCAGCAAAAGGCCCTTGTTATTTATTATGTGCGGGAATATCTGTTCCTTCCAAAGCAGCCCTGTTTACCGGAAAGATCCACAGAGAGAAACAATGAGCTATTATATGGCAAAGTAGAGGCTGAGGTGAACCCACATACCTGAGAAAGAAACCTAAGTATGAAGACATTGCCCAGGATGGGAAGCTTAATGTACAAAATTTTTTGGTTTTGTTTTGAAAGTTTATTTGAGATTAGTGTTAAGCTGGGGGTGGGTAGACTGAGTTAAGCAGAAGAAAGTGTTGATAGAATAATATAAGTTTTATGGGTGTTGTCATTTAGGTGTGGAGAGAAAGGGAAGGGACTGTTAAGAGGCTGCTGTGCTAGAAAACAAGCTTCTTTGTAAAATTAACAAAGGGGATAAGGGCTTCTCCACAGCCTAGATATAGGGGGTGAAGAGGGCTAATACCAGCCCAAGAAGCAAGAAAGAATCAGTGAACGCAGATGGTTCAGAAACACAAACACCAATGTTGCATGGTCATGTTAGTTCATATTTATTTTATTTATTTATTTATTGTTTGTTTATTTGTTTGTTTGTTTGTTTGAGAGAAAGGGGGAGGGGGAGAGAAACTTTTTAAGTCTCCAACTTAAAAAGAAAGCCTTGCATTTCTGGCAAGTAACATGCCTCTTTGCTCATATAGGACACACACCTTTATTTTCTCCCCTTTGAGACAAACCTCAAAATCTGTGGTTAGATACAACCACAGAAAACTAACTGCCCACAGACATTGGTAAAATAAAGAAACCACCTCTTTGGAGTTATTCTTCCCTGCCTCTGTACTCTAATCCTGAGGCTAGTCTCTATCTGGCCTTGAAGATTCTGAAAACTTGCTGATGTTTATAAATTGGGACAACACATAATTACCATTACTCTGTCTAAGCACCAATTCCACAAAAGCGGGGAGAGACTGTTGGGTCAACACAATCTCTAGAATGAAAACTTATCAAGACTTGCTCTAGCTTGAAAAGTAATTACCTGAATTCGAAGCCATTGAAACAGAAGGACTCAGGCCGGAATCACTACGATGAAGAAGAGGAATTTGAATTTATGTCACACCAGAGAAGGCAGTTTCCAAAAGCACATGTGGGTCTGGCTGCCATTTATCAGGCCGGTTACTTTGAAGAGAGGTAATGAGATGGACTACACATGTTTTACAGGTTATCCCACTGTACTAACCAGGAAAAGACATCTGTTCTGGGAGGGAAATCACTTGGATGTGTTAAGAGCTCTGAGCCCAGAACATCACGGAGACCATTCATGGGAAAAGATAGGAACATGCTTCTCTAATGGAAAGTATACTAGTACATATGGAGGGAGAGATGAGACATGGGTAGAGGGAAGTTACTTATTTTAAAAAATAAAATCAAAGTAGCAAAGAAGGATTGTAGGAGGCCAGTTATGTTTCTCAAAACTGTCATACTGCCTTGTTTCTGAGAGAGACTCCTAAAATTTTCTGAATTCTTCCAGCTACCTGATTATTACTACTCTGCCATGGGTAGGATGCCCATGGAAATGCCTGAAAATACGTGTAAAGGCCAAAAGGATGCTCCTCCACCCTGGACCAAGTGCTCACATGTCGGCCTGCCGGCGGAGCCACTGCTGGCAAGCGCTGCTGTCCTGGATGTACTGGAGGACTTCGGAGAGCATGGTGCGTTTAAGGCGCTCCTCCTCTCGCGTCTTCTTAAGGTGATCATAGGTTCTGGCACCTGGAGGTGTAAAACAACCACGACTGCAATAATAATGCAGAACTAAGAAGGGCTTCCTAACTGACCAGCAAACGGCTTGTCTTTTTTTGGTTTCTTTGCAAAACTGCTTCCACAATTAGTTTTCCAAAGTAGATTTCTCCTAGTTTAAAATCCCTTTTTATATTAAGAAATTAAAATATTTTTATTCCTTTTTTTACCTTTAAGAAATTTTGAGGGGGGGAAAAAAAACCCAAAACAAAAAAGTACAAAGAAAATAAGATGATTCATCTTTCCACCCCAAAAGTAATTAACATTCAATATTGTCATATTTGCTTCCTGTTCTATTTTTCTCTCTATATATTTTTCAGTCACACAAGTGCTATAAGCAAACATTCTTCCTTAAAAAGCAATCAGAATTAAAACAAGCCTTCACTGACCAGTACTGTTCCTTTCCCCTCTGTCCCAGAGGCAGCCAGTATCAGATAACCAAGCCCTGGTATCAGAGTTTTTACATGCACCATGGCTAAACAAAAGTTGTGTGATGTTTTATACTTGTTAACAAAGGTATATAGATGCCAAAATGCCACACCACTGGATTTCAAACTATGTTCCACGTAGCCCCCTAGTCCCATGAACATCCATCAGGGCTTACATGAAGAGCAAGGGCACCACCACATACTGGTGGTTCTGGGTTCTACACCTGACCTGAACCACTAAACTTCAACTAAAGTAGTTCCATTTTTACCTTATTTATAGATTAGGGCTCCACATAGAATTTTATTTTGAAAACGATTTCCATTGTTAAAAATAAAGAATGATTATACTAAGCTAAACTTACACACATAGGGCTACTTCCTGTGGGTACTGGGTGTCTGCTTTCAACCAACAGGAAGGAGGGAATGCTAAAGATCATTCCAACAATAATAATAAAACAGCAGAAACTGTCATTTGTGGAGGATTTACGGCGTGCCTGCTACTGTACTACGTTCTCATGCATTATCTCTAATTTATCTTCAGACTAATTCTAAGAGACTTGGGAAATTAAAACTGGAACAGAATGACAGATCTGGTAAATAGGAGAGCCAGAATCCAAACGCACGCTGTCCAAGTCTAGACCTCAAGCTCTTAACTCCCATAATACACTGCCTTTCCTTATGACCTGGCTCTACTACACATAGCTCTTTAATCACTTTAAACCTTAGCTTCTTCATTAAATGGAAATAACAATATCTCACTCATGAGTTTGTTATGAGAATTAAATGACAGGATCCAGGTAAAATGGGTAGCATAGGGACTGGTGCATGGTAAACTGTTTCTGTGCGATGTTAGCTACTATTAATATAATTAATAAAACCACCTCAAGACACTCAGTCAAAGCACCTAAAGCCAGTTGAAGTTTGGTTAATAAGAATGATTAGACCATGCATCACTAAATGTTAACTGGCTGAGGCTAAAAATTAGAATACAAATCCTTTTTTTTAAGAGGCTATACAATCCTAAATCTAAAGCAGTGCCTCTCTTTTGTGTGCAACTTTTATTTTACCTCAGATAATCCATATAGTGGTATTTATAAGGATTAAATAGATGAAACTTTACTGAAAGGTTTAAAAACTCATTCTGAAAAAGGAAAGCTTATTTAAAAAACAATAACACACCACATCACCTCAAACAGAGACTTCCTCTATGTGTTTGGAATACATTTGGCCTCTGATATAGCAAGTAGTACTTACTACAAAAATTGGTGATGCCTGCTGTCCTGTATTCCTGGAGCCGCTTGATTTCCCTTCGGAGTTCAAATTCCACTGTTCATCCCAAAAAGAACAAAGGAGAAAAATGGGGAAACACAATCAACATCAATGAGCACTTTTGCTGTTGAGCATTTTAAGTAATTCTGCCTTATGTAAAAGACTGGGCAATTCCATTTGGGGAATACTATTTGTTGGTAACATCTCATTAGAAATTTTACCCTAGAGCTGAGAAAATCCTCCTCCAGCTGTCTTCCAGCTGCTGTCTGGGGCTGGAGACAGCAGCAGCTGCAACTGTCTTTTAGAAAACTTACAGTGAACTGGCTGAATTCATTTAGCTAGAGAATAACAAGCTTTTAAACAATCAAGTTTCCCTGCTCTATTTATTCTGTGTTAAAAGTTCTACCACATAACCACATTCTTTTATGAAACCTGTCTCATAATACCTCTGGTATTATTTGATGTGGCCCTTTTGCAAGGGAAGGACAAAAGCTCTGTGCTCAAGTCCCAGATAATTTCTTTCTTCACAGACACAAAAGAGCATTGTGTTTCCCATAAACCAAAGATTTCTACTTCCTCTGAGCACACAGACCAGGCTGCACTGCTTGGGTTATTTGGGTGCTTTGTAACAGAGGATGAAGGAAATGCCTGGACAATCCGTGGGGTGTAGTTCCTTGAAGTGATACATAGCCCAGGGATGGCACAAACTGGGACAGGAAGTAAAGCATCAGTCACCTCATATAAACCACATGAAGAATAAAACCAGACAGGGTGTTTGGTGAGGACAACCAATCTGGTTCAGATAAAAGCCTATCATGCCATGTAAGAAATATCTGCATGATGAGAACAAGGTGAGAGCCTTGCTAAAGTACCTTCCCAGAATTAAACTTATGTCAAACACATAAATCTCATGATGAAGGGTAGACTAAACCACCCCACCTCTTTCAAGTCTAGGCTTCCATCCCTTAACAACTTTAATTTTTTATAGCGAAAAGCCAAAGGATAACTAGGTAGAGCTCTCTCAGAGTATCAGGCGAGAGAATGATGGAAGTACTAGCTACATGAGTTATCTAACTCTGTCCCCACTTTAAAAACTAGTTTTAAGCCCTGGCTGCTGTGGCTCAGTTGGTTGGAGCATCATCCTGTGCACTGAAGGGTCTCTGGTTTGATTCCCAGTCAGGGTACATACCCAGGTTTCGTGTTCCATCTGCAGTTGGGGCACATGCAAGAGGCAATCAATTGATGCTTCTTTCTCACATCAATGTTTCTCTCTCTTCCTCTCTTCCCTCAACACACACACCCTCACCCCCTTCCTCTCTTATAATCAATTTTTAAAAAAATACCCTTCGGTGAGGATAAAAACAAACAAAAAAGTAGTTTTAATACTAAAATATTTATGAACAAATAATATAATGCCTGGGATTCACTTCAAAATAATCCAGTTGAGGGTGGGAAGGAAGTGGCAGAGATGACACTGGGTTGGCCATGTGTTGACAGTTGTTAAAGCTAGGTGATGGATATATGGGGGTTCATTATACTATTATCTCTGCTTTTGTATGTAGTTTTGAAAACTGTCATTAACAAAAAGTAAGGGTAAAAATGCTAAACTACTGTTTATATGGGGAAAAAAGAATGCCACTAGGTTTTTTAACCTCCCCTCCAACTCTGAAAGCTCCAAATTAATTTCATGGTAATAAGGGCAAAGAAAAAATATCCATGTATTTATTTACGGAACTTCACATAAAACACATCATTATCTCTCCTATTTTTATACACACACACACACACACACACACACACACACACACAAACTCAAGGCTCAAAACCACCTACGTGCATGGCTTTCAATGAACTTGTCATGCTCCACTGGCCCCACAATCCTTGCAAATCGCCTCATTGTTTCATAAAGGTCTTGGACCTCCTTGGGATACCGCCGTTCCATTACTACAAAGTAAAACACAACCACATCACAAAGAATACAAGGATCCCTAAGTTTTCTGCATTTCCTTCACAAGAAGTGAAATGGAAGGACATTATTCATAACCTCACATGACTCATTTACCCATGACAGGAAGCAAACAGGAAAGCTAAGAATGCAAAACACTAATCATAGCAGCATCACAACTATCACATAGGGATGTTGCTATCACAGGAGAGCATCTGCACTACTGAGCACCCTGATGTCCTTCTCTTATCTGTACAGGGGCAGGAATTGTTGGCAGCAATGGGAAAGACAATTAAAGGCAGATCGTACATTCTTAGGAACAATGTTGGGCAAATTTGCTCGTAACTTCTGCAGGAAAACCAGGAGTGTGCAGACACAATAATCCATCTAGAAGAGACTAGCCTGGAAAAAGTGTACCATCTTTTTTTAATTTTAACTATATTTTATTGATTTTTTACAGAGAGGAAGAGAGAGGGATAGAGAGTTAGAAACATCAATGAGAGAGAAACATTGATCAGCTGCCTCCTGCACACTCCCTACTGGGGATGTGCCCGCAACCAAGGTACATGCCCTTGACCAGAATCTAACCTGGGGCCCTTCAGTCTTCAGGCTGCCGCTCTATCCACTGAGCCAAACCGGTTAGGGCAAGTGTACCATCTTTTATATGCCTCACCAAAAATCTTCCTCCTACATACACTTACTCAAGTGAGGCATACAGTATTTCTTCACTAAATTAAATACCACAACTTAAGTTCTATTTTGATAACTATCATGCAAGTAAATGGTCACACATACAGGATACCTAGGGTCAGCAACTTTGAGGATCACTACTGACCAAATGTCTAATAAAAAGAGATATTGGCAAAGAAGATGGGAGGTAACACCCATCAACAATATAGTAGGTAGTAGGGTGGAGCAGCCAGAAACCCTCAAAGTGCTACTCAGTCATTTCAATCAGATAATAGTAACTAGGCTAGTTCTGTCCACCTCTGACAGTTATTTAAATTAAGTCCTTTTGTCAGATGAATATTTTTCCTTGCAGGAGACATTCTTACCCACAAATTCTAAGAGTCAATTAGATGGGCAGCCACCGATGGATTATTTTCACTATTAACACCACCTCCCTTCCCTGCCTCTCACTACAGGGATAATATAGAAGAATTTGGAGTATAATTTTAAAATTTGATGGAAAAAAAAACCCCTCTGCCTACCATATACTGAAGGTCACATGTACATTCAATATAATGACCACTGAAAACCTCTGAAACCACATTGCACATGTCATAGTTAAGAGTAAGGAGGCTAAACTGACCTCTGTCCCCCAGCTGAGATTAGATATACACAAGAGTCACGATCTGCTATAAATAAAGGTTAAAAACCCACTGACCCTATTATGAAAAGCCTGTGGCAACCAGAATTGACCAATTGTTGTCTACAGAAAAGGCAAAGGAAATCTGCTCCTGAGTTAGTTGTGCAAACCCACAGCTCTCAATGAGGATGAGGTTAAACAGGCAATCTCATACACTGCCAGAAGGAATACAAATTGATATAACAGCTTTTGTAGAGGAACCTGGCAGCAAGTGTCAAAAGTTTTTCATGATCATATCCTTTGACCTATTATGTCACTTCTGGGACTCTACCTAAAAAAGATAAGTAATTCTAAACATAGAAAAGGTTTTATTCATAAACAAGTTCATCACAGCATTATTTTTAATGATTAAGCAAATGAAAATATGCTAAATAATAACAAAAGGCAGGTTAAGTATAGTATTATATAAGTATATATACACAACACATTATGTAACTGTTAAAAACGACATCTTCCAAACACCGCAATCACTTGAAAAGTATGTAATGGAAAGTGAAAAAATAAAGGACATAAAGTGTAACATATTTATGTTCATGACTATATTAAAAGACAATACCTATGTCTGGCTGACCTGAACCCTATAGGAGCCCAGAGTATCAAAACCTGTAAGAGTCTATCAACTAGGATAATTATTAGGTACTTAAAAATATACATATTATTGTGACATCCAACTATTATAAACATTTTAATTTAAATATTGCAATTACTCTGAGATCATCATTCTAATTTGCTGAACAAACTCTACAGTATAGAAGAAAAAGTACAGGAACTCTTTCTGCCCAGCCTAGGTATCTCCAATATTTAAAAGAGTAAGCTCAAAGTTGGCATTTTAAAAAACCCACTCAGATTTATTATCACCATCACACAATGCTAAAAGCCACTGTTATTTGTTTGTCTATGATACAAAATAGAAAAATGACTTTCTCTTGATTTAAAAAACAAAACATTTTCACAACCTGGTGTTCAAGGTTATGTTTAACGTATAGTTCCAAACATGACCCTACCTAGTTCCAGAAAATGATTCATGCATACTCATGTTGCTATACAGTAATTACTATACTGATTTTTTACAAAGATTATCATGCAAATGTTGACTATATATTAATGGTTCTTAACTCTGACTATTCAACAGAATCGTTTCGAAGACTTTTATCTTTATTTATTTACTAGAGGCCCGATGCACGAAATTCGTGCAAGGGGCTCGGCCCTCGCAGTCCCAGCTTCGTCCGGAAGGTCGTTTGGCTGTCAGGTCTAATTAGCATATTATGCTTTTATTTTTATAGATTGCCTTGAAGACTTTTTAAAAATATAGATGCTTTATCTCTATCCCCAGAGATTCTGACTTAATTAGTCTGTGGTGATACCCTGGTATCAGAATTCTTTAAAGCTTCCTAAATGATGATAATATACCACTTGGATTAAGAACTACTACCATAAATGATTTAAAACTATTCAGTTAATGTTGGAAGAAATTTTAAAATAAAGAAAACAGCTAATACTTACACTGAAACTTCCTAAGGTTGATTAATCCATGATCTCTTATAATTCTAGAATGAAAACCACAATGTTTATTATAGTCAGTTTTGCATTTAATAATGTTTTCCACATGCAGCTTTTACCAGACATCCTAAATATTCTGAGGTGAAATATCGAGGTCCAAAGAAGTCACTCCCCACATAGTTCTGCAAATCAGTTAGTCACTAACACAATTGTAGGCTCTCAAGCATCATACATTTTTCCTCTCCTTGGGCTTAGCAGACTTCCAATAACTATTTGCTGGATGAATGAATGAACCAATGAGCACTAACAAATATTGAAAAATACATGTCTCTAACTTAAGATGAAACAGAAGGGAAGCTGTATTCATGTCATAAAAATTAACTTATTCAGCTTAGGGAATTTAAGGGAAATTTAGGGGAAATCTGTTAATATAAAAGGACACCATGATCACACATTCAACATTTACAACTGCACATTGACATAATGCTTTGAAACTATTTGAAATAAATATTATGCATGTTTAATGGAAGGGCATCATAAAACATAATATCCAACAGCAATCTCAACAACTGAGTTCTATAATACTGTCTAGCTCAAATTGGTTGTTTAAAGCAAAACAGAATTTAAGTAAACCATGCAGAGGATGTGTCTGGAGCCTTTGACTTATACCAGAGGTATTCATGACTAGCTAGGAAGCTTCTCACAAGAGCAGCAGAGTAAGCTTCTTCAGCACTTCTCAGAAGCTAACTCAAACCCCCAGAGAGTGAGCTTTACTTTACATCACATCTTGGTCCCTGAACAGTGTCTCCCAATTTAATCAATACAGCAGTTCCCAAGTTCTTTTATTGTTGTGATGCCACTATGTCTCTAGTCAGCAACACCACGTGTTAGTAACATGCCTACACACACACACACACACACACACACACACACACACACTCACAACCTCTACATACCCTTCTCTGAATGTTAAAAGAGTCTGTAAATCAACAAACCAACAGGAGCCTGGGATCCATAATTTCTCAGTCTGAATGTATGTTTTTTTGTTCTATTGCAAAGAGAAGGAATAACCAAGAGTGCCTGAAACTTGTTCAGAATTTCCTTTGAAATTCTTTTAGATAAAAGATTCTCATAAAAAATAATCCATTAGAATGAGAACATTATAAAAAGCATAACAACTTAATAACATCTTGAATTTATCTTATTCCTTTTTTCCTTAAAACAGTGCACCCACATTCTTCATTGGTCATTAATACTTCAAGAAAGGTTGAGGAGGAGGTAAAAAACACACACAACACCAACAAAACAACAACACAAAAAACCCCCGACAGGTATTATTATCCTCATTTGATAGATGGAAAAACTGAGACCCAAGGTCTTCCTCAAGGTAACAAGATAAGCCACAACTGGAACATTCTTATGGACTATATGTGTATGTGGTCAATAGTCCAAAGCTGAAAGAAGGTCCTTAGTTTTCTACACTTACTTTTTCCGCCTTTGTCTCTCCTTTAACCTGGAATGGTAGATATCTACTACAGCCATCTTCAGAGCTTTAAATAAAGAAACAAACAAATACATATAAATAAAGCCAAGACAAAAATAAAAATCTTTACACCTCATATTGCTAACTATTCCATACTCACTCAGTGGTCTAGGAGACCAATCATTAACTACAGAAAAAATATTAAGAGGAATGAATTAAGTTAGCGCTATGCTACATTAAACCATTCTTCTAATCTACAATGTATGAATTCTGAAGAAATGGTAAGACTTAATAACTTCAGTAGATACTAGAACTATTCTAATAACCTGTTATCTCCTTAAGCATTGTGTAAGTTGGAGTTTGGTGATTTTGTTTTAATTACTGAAGATATTTACGAAGAAAGGGGCCCTAGAGCACAAAATATGACCTTGTGTGTCCTCTGAAAAAACTAAAATACATTATTCAAATGTTAGGTAACATAATTTCTAATAACACACCAGCCTTCAGCCTTCACAATAAGGAATTTGTTTGTGTATGACAATTACTTCTTCCAGGATAGAAAGCTTCATTCCAAAATACAGCCTCTGTAATACTAATAAACAAAAAAAGCAATCCAATCTCATCCAAAAAATGTGAGATACAAGTTCCGGTTTAGCTCATGGGGGCAATGAGTCAGCACAGATTTATATGTTCTGCTAGGCTAGAGCAACTCTTAAACCTTGTTAGGATGTTAGATGTGCTCTAGCTGAACCTCCTCTCCCTACTCCATATCCAGCTACCTTTCCTAGTACTACTTACTCCCTGAGGGCACCTCCATGGAACTGTTTGAAACCCACACTTCTGCTGGAAATAGTTTTAGGGTAGGGGAAAAATGGAACCAATTAATGAAGAGAGCAGAATCATCATTTTTTCACTACATGAAAGCAAACAAAAGTTGATCAATGTATAATCCTGGCCGAAACCGGTTTGGCTCAGTGGATAGAGCGTCGGCTTGCGGACTGAAAGGTCCCAGGTTCGATTCCGGTCAAGGGCATGTACCTGGGTTGCGAGCACATCCCCAGTAGGAGATGTGCAGGAGGCAGCTGATCGATGTTTCTAACTCTCTATCTCTCTCCCTTCCTCTCTGTAAAAAATCAATAAAATATATATTTTTTAAAAAATGTATAATCCTGGTGCACTATCAACATGGCAGCCCTGGCGAGATAATAGAAATAAATTCTGGATACTTCATCCTGACTCATTACTGTCTACTTGCCCTAAGGATAGTCTCAGATTAGAAAGAAGAAATACCAAAATCTAACATGCTGGACTATGAACAGATGCATTACATATGTCTGTAACTTCAATCACTGGGAAATGACCAGAAATACTTTATGTAGGCCATTCTCCTTTGGATCTGAGATAAAAATAAGTTCTAGCTGGATGATCTGAAGAGGTGAGAGAATGCAATATTTTTTCAAGTTTAAGTATTAAAAAAAAGTGTTAACTACCATGAAAATTTTTTTGTTCTTTTCTAACAAGTTCAAAAATTTAAACATCATTGTTTCATTTTTTTCTCATAACTGCCAACAAACTAAAAAAATTCAATGATAACAAGTCCATGATTTAAGGCAATGGTTTTCAAACCTTTTTTAGGTAGCAGAACTCTTTCTACAAATGAATTCTTTCTTGATTTATAGGGTGGTTCCATATGCAAGCCCAAGTACCATAGAATGCCCCATGCCCTGCCACCATTTCTAGCAGTTGCTGTGCAATGATAGGCTCTAGAATGCTGTGCTGGTGGAGATGCACTTTACATGCCTGTGTGGGGAAAAGGAGGATAAGAAAAGGGAGGGGAGGATGTGTCTCTGACATGCAGTGTAACCTTATGCAAGTTTTAGAGTGGATTCTATTTCTTATGACAAATAGACTTAGGAAGTCAAATGTTCAACCAGAAAGAGGAGCAAATATAACAGTTAAGGAAATAGTTAAAATACACTATTTATCATGTTCCAGGCTCTTTATGTGCCTCATTTCATTTATCCACCCAATAAGATCCACACAATAATATGAGTTCAATAGGAAAGAAACTACTTCATGATGTAGTGGAAATCACTGCTAATTTTGACAAAATATTTTTTGTTATTTTTCTAAGACACTAACTTACCATGCTATTTCCTGAGATTTGTGTGGGGATGACTTAATTAAAACAGAAAAACTAAAGAGACTGTTACCAAAAAAAAAAAAAAAATCTGTAAATAAATACTGCTGATAATTAGTTCTATGGCTTGATCATTTCAATAGTTTAAACATGTACAACTAGCTTTGGGTAACAAAGGGAAGGAAAGAAACACATAGAGGAGATTCGTATTTGAAGCTCTCTCTTTCCTTGATAAAGCACACTCAAGTTGCAGCAACTGATTTTAAGTTCTTCACTGCACGAATAACTCAGAGAGGACCACAGCACAGCAGGCAGAATAGAAATAACAAGGCAAACACTGCAAGAATGAGAATCATCAGTTCACATTCCACTTATAGTGACTGGAGGTTCCAGTCAAGTGGGAACAAAGAACCAGAGATCATTAAAAACAAACAAATCAGCCCTAGCTGGTTTGGCTCAGTGAATAGAACATTGGCCTGGGGACTGAAGGGTCCTGGGTTCGATTCCAGTCAAGGGCTCGATCCCCAGTGGGGGGCGTGCAGGAGGCAGCCAATTAATGATTCTCTCTTATCATTGATATTTGTATCTCTCCTTCTCCCTTCCTCTCTGAATCCATAAAAATATATTAAAAACAAAAACAAACCAAAACCACCCGTCACCTATGCACTGATGTAAGGCCTCTGAAATCTCAGCCTTGTGGGAAGAATAGTCTCCCTGTGACTATACTGGGTACTGATAATAAAGTCTCCAAATGGCTGGCCTTAAAATATTTCAAGTAGTGGGCAGAAGTCAGAGGCAGCTCCTTCCCACTGCAATGTATTTCTAACATTGTTCAAAATAGCTAGCAACATGTTTCTGTTTTCCTGACAGAAGGCACTACTGTTTATTTGGCAAGAAAATCAAGTCAGAGGCCTTAACTGCAGGAAAGCCGATCAAAATCCCTATTACAACCACACAAGTTCAAACCTATGACTCAGGTATTCCCAAGAAGCAAATTTTTTTAAAAGTCATTCCAACCTCCCCCCACCTCCCTAGCTTTTGGCCCGAGAGGTACACAATCAGTTATGTGAAGGAAATAAGACTACATGACCTAAAGGTTAATGTCAGCAATTAGGAGGCCTGAGGCAAGTAAGTTAACTCCTTTGTACATTACCCTGAATGTAAAATGGGAGCGTATCTATTCTTATTTATCAGGAATGTGGTTAAGCCATAGGAGACAACAAATGTGAATATCATCCCACCTCTCAATATGAACCCAGCAACAAAAATTTAAGGTTTAAAGATAATTAGTACAGTATTAAGATCATAGACTTTGGAGATGGCTCTGTCACTTGCAGGTTATATTACCTCAGGCAAGTTACTTGGTATTTCCATTCCTCAATTTCCTCAGCTATAAAATCCTATCTAATAAAGGGGTAATATGCAAATTGACCATCACTCCAACACACAAGATGGCCACCCCCATGTGGACACAAGATGGCCAGCAAGGGAGGGCAGTTGGGGGCAACCAGGCCTGCAGGGGAGGGCAGTTAGGGGTGACCAGGCCAGCAGGGGAGGGCAGTTAGGGGCCATTGGGCCAGCAGGGTAGCAGTTAGGCATTGATCAGGCTGGCAGGGGAGTGTTTAGGGGGTGGTCAGGCTGACAGTCAGAAGCAGTTAGGGGCAATCAGGCAGGCAGGTGAGCAGTTGGGAGCCAGCAGTCCCGGATTGTGAGAGGGATGTCCAACTGCCCTCGAGGGATCCCAGATTGGAAAGGGTGCAGGCTGGGCTGAAGGACAACCTGCCCCCCATGCACGAATTTGGTGCACCTAGCCTCTAGTGGATATAATAATAATGCCCAATTCATAGTGTTTTGTGAGGATTAAATGAGTTCACATGTGTGAAGGACTTAAATGCTAATATGTATTAACTGTTATTAATAGCATTTATGTCTAAAATGTCCTAAGCATAAGATAGTCAAATCACTATGAAGGGGAAGGGCACTTGCAAAAGGTGAGTGTGTGTAGAGACCAGGGTGAATCTCTGATCTGCTAACTGTAAAAGGATCTAAAGGCTGACAATATTGGCCAAAAAAGGGCTGGGGGTGGGTGGAGAAGTGAGGGAAAATCCATGCCTGGCCAAAAAATTTGCTGAAATTATCTTTCCAAATAAAAGGAGAATAAACTCTTTTAATGTGCAACCCTGAGGTGTGTTGAACACACAGACACAACACATAGGAAGGAGCTTATAATGATAATGCCTCTTGCTTGCTTCAGTTATGAGACAGCAATGGTTAGAAGATGTTGCAACCAGGATTTCAGAACTTGTGAAACTCTGGGAAAGAGGAGTTCACAAATTTAAGAGATTTTCCCAAATGAAAGCAGGAAAAGGGAACTACACTGTGCGTCTGCACTGAAATTCCCAATAAAATATAAGGAGGTGTTATTTAGGGCTCCCAGAACTTCCTTGTTTTCCTCCTCAGACACTGCTTCACTTGTATATTCTTTGGGCCCATTCTAAAAGCCTTCTGGTATGATTGGAATGCAATTTTATTATCCCTCCATTGTGTCTCAGGCCTCTATAATGGACCATTCAGCTCCATTTTATTAGACAAATTCCATGAATCATAGCAAAAGTCTTTGGGTAAGGAAAGGGGCTTGGTAGCATCTGTTGATCTTCTAGATGCCCTGGGATGGAATATAAAAAACACACCCAGCCAAACAGTTTGCTTCCTTCTAGTAGTTATAAGTGAGGAAACAAAAGGAATGTTGTTAATGCTCAGTAATATTAGCAGTATAATGGAATGGTAATGATGTCACCTGAATTATGTACCATCTTTCATTGGAGACATTCACACTCTATGACTAATCAGTGTCACCCCCTTTTTTTTCGGCAGGGGACACAAAAAACAGTAAGCAAGATTCTAAGGACTTGCCCAAGATCATACAGTGACTCAGAAGCAAGCCCAAGGCTGAATCAGTGTTCTGATTTGCACAAAATATGTGTTCCTTTGTCTGTTCTAGGTGTGCTACTTCTCATTCCTTCCTGAGTCTCCTTGGGCTCCTAGTC